CCCCAAGCCTGAGCTGGGCTGTGTCTTAGATACATGATCCCTCCGTCCCAGGGAGATCAGGATTATATGCCCATTTCACAGTTGTGGAAACTGAGGCTTAGAGAGCTTAAATCTCCTAAAAGCCATACCAGTAAGCAAATTAATGATATCCAGAATCAGCTTTCTGAGTCTAAAACCCATGCTCACATACTGGCTTTCTTCTTAACATGAATATATAAGTATAAAAATAAATAGTGAAAAGTAAGTCACAAGCCAGGCATGGTGGCTCATTCCTATAACCCTAGCACTTTGGGAGGCTGAGACGAGAGGATTGACTGAGCCCAGGGGTTTGAGACCAGCCTGGGCAACTTGGCAAGACCTCGTCTCTACAATAAATCATAAAACTAGCTGGGCGTGGTGGTGAGTGCCTGTAGTTGCAGCTACTTGGAAGGCTGAGGCGAAAGGATCACCTGAGCCCAGTAGGTCAAGGCTGCAGTGGATGTGAGCATGTCACTGCACTCTAGCCAGGGCGAAGACTGAAACTCTGATGCATAAAAAAAAGAAAAAGAAAAGTAAGTCATAAACTTGGGTTACCTAGGTTGTTCCAATTTCCCATGGAAGATGAAGGTTTATTCCTCTTTCCTTGCCAAGCACACATGTGGACCAGTATCAAGGATCTGCCCTTCACCAAGCAGTGTGAACAGTGTGGCCTCCTGGGCCTGGAGCTGATGGGCTCCAGGAGCCTGTTTTCCACCATTGGCCATACTCTTGGGGCCACCTGGCTCTCAGCAGGCATCACTGGACTTGGGCACGGAAGGAAGCCCTCTTTCAGGGACTCTGAGGGTACCAGGTGATCAGCTATCCCCATTTCGAGGTGCGGGTGTTGCTGCAGGGGGAGGGGAGCATCTCTGTCCCTGGCTTCAGACTGTGCCTCTGGAGATATCGAAATGTGAGGGCTGAACCTTGACAGAAAGCAGCTGGATTGGCATTAGAAGCCGTGAGGGGCGGTGGAGGGTACTGCCCAGCTCAGCACACCATTGTTGGTGCCTCGTCCAAAGGTACAACCTCCCTGCATTCAGTCAATGACCCGAATCCTTTCAGTCAGATTGCTTTTTGCACCAAAGCTGTGGAAAGAAAAGGCTTCTTAGGTGACCATGGGATTACTCACTCTGTCGCCCACGCTGAGTGCAGTGGCACGATCACAGCCACCCCAGCGTCAACCGATCCTTCCCCCTCAGCCTTCCAAGTAGCCGAAACTACAGGTGCGTGCTACCAAACGCCCGGCTAATTTTTTGATTTATTGTAGAGATGAGGTCTCGCCAAGTTGCCTGGGATGGTCTTAAACCTGCAGGCTCAGGCTGTCCCCTCACCTCAGCCTCCCAAAGTGCTGGGATTACAGGCTGAGCCACCGAGCCCGACCCACCTTTTTTTATTTTTGAGTCAAGGTCTCACTCTTGCCCAGGCTGAAGTGCAATGGCATGATCATGGCTTATCACAGTCTCGACCTCCTGGGTTCAGGTGACCCTTCCACTTTAGCTTCCCAAGTAACTGGGACTACAGTTGTGCCACCACACTTGGCTAATTTTTTAAAATTTTTTTGTAGAGATGAGCACTTTCTATGTTGCCCAGACTGGTCTTGAACTCCTGGGCTCGAGCAACCCTCCGGCTTCAGTCTCACAAAGTGCTGGGATTACAGGCGTGAGCCACCACGGCCATCCTTCAAATCACCGCAGTGTGAGGGGAATTGGGTTTAAGCCACAGGCTGAGAAGCTGACCCGCAGCCACACTTCACTGGCCCTTTTGCTTCCAACATCCAGGCCCAGGAAGCTGTGATTCTTGCCCAGTTCACTTGGTGTTCACTTTTGGAGGAGGGGGTTGGTTTTTGCTTTGCTTTTTGTTGTTGTTTTTTTAAATTGATAAACTTAACTGGGCGCTGTGTCTCATTCATGCCTGTAATTCCAGCACCTTAGAAAGTGAGACGATTGCCTGGACCCAGGGGTTTGAGACTAGCCTGGGCAATTTGACGAGACCTCATCTCTACAATAAATCAAAAAAAATTAGGGAAGCATGGTGGCGCGTGCCTATAGTTCCAGCTACTTGGAAGGCTAAAGCGGAAAGATCACCTGAGCCCAGCAGGTTGAGGCTGTGGTGGCTGTGAGCATGCCACTTATACTCCAGCCTGGATGACAGAGTGAGACTCCTACTCAAAAAATTTTTTTAAAAATTGACAGACTTGACTTTTAAGAGTAGTTTTAGGTTTACAAAAAAATAGAGCACACAGGACTGCGTTCCCATATGCCCCCTCCCTTGCACACCTCCCCCCTCACTAACAAGTTGAGTTCATGTGGCACCTTTGTTTCCATGGATGAACCTGTAAGATATATTACTAGATGTGACAGTGCCTGGTGTATATGAAGGTTCACTCTTGGTGCTGTGCATTCTATGGGTTTTGACAAACAAGTAATGACATATATCATGTGACAGTGTCACACAGAACTATTTCTCTGTTCCAAAAATGCCTTTGCACTCCACCTGTTCCTCT